ACAAGATAGACAGGCCGCTAGTCCAATTAACCAACAGAAAGAAAGAGCACCTCCAAATGAACAAAATCAGAGATGAAAGGGCAAACATCACAACAGACACCCTAAACATCTAGACCATTATAAGGGAATATTTTTAAAACCTATATGCTACTAAACCTGAAAGTCTAAAAGAAATGGATGGATATCTGAAATCATGGGAACATCCAAAGTTAAAGCAAGAAGAGATCAGCCCCGACCTTCCTTGATGGGGACCGGTGCACAGTGGTCTCCCAGTAGCAGCAGAGTTTGGGCAAGGGGAGGCCAACACAAAACTTCCTGACTAAAAGAAAAACAGGCCCAGATGGATTTACAGCAGAATTCTACCAGACATTTAAAAACCTCCAACCAACATTATTTAAATTATTCAAAATGATAGAAACAGAGGGGGAACTCCCAAATTCCTTTTATGAAGCCAGCATCACTCTAATACCCAAACCGGGAAAAGACACAACCAAAAAAAGAAAACTATAGACCCATATCCTTAATGAACAAAGATGCAAAAATTCTCAACAAAATACTTGCAAACCACCACATACAGACACACATCAGAAAGATCGTTCACCATGATCAAATAGGCTTTATCCCAGAGATGCAGGGATGTTTCAATATATGCAAGTCAATAAACATCATTAATCATATAAATGGACTCAAAGACAAGAACCACATGTCATCTCAATAGATGCAGAGAAGGCCTTTGACAAAATTCAACATGCATTTATGTTAGAGGGAATTGGACTGGAGGGAACATACCTCAACATAATTAATGCCATATATAGCAAACCCACAGCCAACACCATTATAAATATAGAAAAACTGGAAGCATTCCCATTAAAATCAGGAACCAGACAAAGATGTCCACTATCTCCTCTCCTTTTCAACATAGTGCTTGAAACTCTTGCTAGAGCAATAAGAGAGGAGAAGGAAATTAAAGGAGTGCTAATTAGAAAAGAAGAGGTCAAACTACAACTTTTTTCAGATGATGTGATACTATACCTAAGAGATCCCAAAAGTTCCACCAGAAAACTCCTAGAACTGATCACACTTTCAGTATAGTAGCAGGTTATAAAATCAGTCTAAAAAATCAGTAGTCTTTCTATATACCAATAACAAGCAACTGGAGAAAGAATACAGGGAAATGCTTCCATTCACAATTACTGCAAAAAAAATTAAAATATCTTGGAATATATCTGACCAAAGACACCAAAGATCTCTACAATGAAAATTTTAAATAGTCAAAGAGATTGAGAAAGAAAAAAAGAAAGATTGAGGAAGACACCAGGAGATGGAAGGACCTCCCATCAGGTTCATGGATTGGAAGAATTAATATTTTTAAAATGACCATCCTACCAAAAGCAATATATAGATTCAATGCAATCCCAATCAAAATCCCTGTGACACATGTCACAGAATTAGAAAAATGCATCCTTAAATTCATATGGAGGCACAGAAGACTATGGATAGCCAAAGCAACCCTGAGCACAAAGAGCAACGCTGGGGGGATTATTATACCAGATCTCAAAGTATACTACAGAGCCATAGTCATAAAAACAGCATAGTAAAGCCGGGCGTAGTGGCACACATCTTTAATCCCAACACTTGGGAGGCAGAGGCAGGCGGATCTCTGTGAGTTTGAAGCCAGCCTGGTCCACATAGTCCCAGGACAGCTGAGGCTGCAGGGAGACCCTGTCTCAAAAAGACCAAAAAAACCCCAAAAAACAGCATGGTACTGGCACAAAAACAGACCCATAGATCAATGGAACATCATTGAAGATCCAAACCTGAGTACACGCAGTTTCAGCCACCTGATATTTGACAAAGGTGCCAAGAACGCACAATGGAGGAAAGACAACATCTTCAACAAATGGTGCTGGCAACACTGGATCTCCACCTGTAGGAGAATGAAACTAGATACTTCTCTTTCACCTTGCACAGAATCAACTCCAAATGGATCAAAGACCTCAATGTGAAACTGGAAACCCTGACACTATTAGAAGAAAATATTGGCAGTAACTTACAAGATATAGGTGTAGGAAAGGATTTTCTAAATAGGACAGAAGTTGCTCGAGAATTAATGTCAGCCATCAACAAGTGGGACCTCATTAAACTAGAAATCTTCTGTACAGCAGAATAAGCAATCAAAAAGTGAAGAGAAAACCCACAGAACGGGAAAAATCTTCACCAGTGACACACCTGACAAAGGTTTAACAACCCGAATATATAAAGAACTCAAAAAACAGAGGAGTGAGAAACCAAATGACCCAATGAAAAGATGGGCTAAAGATCGAAACAAGAAATAAAAAAACAAATAATCAAGAAAACAAATGACTCAATTAAAAGATGGGCTAAAGATCTAAACAGAGAGTTCTCACAGGAAGAAATAAAGATGAGTAAGAAACATCTCAAAAAGTGTTCAACACCGTTAGTAATTCGGGAACTAAAGTCATCAGTATATTTCTTTAAGAGGTCAAGGGATTACACTTCTCAGAAATTAGTCTTAAGTCCATATAAAATGTTATTTAGACAATTATTTCTCATTGTTGATTTCATTTCTAAGCAGGAAGTGCTGCTTAGATGTAAGACTTCACCTGTGAACCTAAAAACTTACAGCCACTTTTGAAGGAGATGTATCCTTGCTCTGGAAATTGTTACTGAATATGTTAAAGCTGTAATGAAATGCTTCTTCTAATCATGTGGTTATTAGAAAAAAAGACTTCAAGTCTTGGCATTCCTCAAAGCATAAAAAATTGCTCCTTAATAACTAGTAGATATGAAAAATATTACCTTTGAAATCTACTTGATGACTTTATATCCATGCTCAGATGCCAAGGAACTCAGAAAGTAACCGATTGTGACTAGTAATAATCAGATATATAGCGATTAGAAATGCATGTGCATCTTAGTGTCAATTCTATTAAAAATGAATTTTTCTGTATGAAGCTGTATTTTAATAATGAAGTGAAGATCTTTTTTAAAGTTTAAAATATCCTCATTTTTCTTTTGTCTTCCAAGGCTGGACTAGTTGGCTGGGAAGAGTGGGTGGATACTCAGGTGAGAGTTGGAAGCCCTTCTCAAGAAACTCCAATGGACTCTCATATGAACATTTGAAAAATGCCGTGTTCTGTCTTTTTTCTAGTTCCCTGTCTAGAATTTGTAATGCTAATTACTCTTGCCTTTACTTCTCCTTCACGTCTCCCATTCATGATTCAACGACTTTCTTCTTCCCTTAGAGACAAAACTTATGCAATTTGGGAGTCTTTTAGATCGACCCACTGAAGGGGTACTCCAGTTGCCTCACACTGCCTCCCTGTTCAGCATGAAAGAAGCCAGAGAGGGTCAGTGACCCTATTCCCTATTGGCAATTTGAGTAACCCCTTCAGAGGATGGTGTGATAAGAATAGGAGGTGGGAATTGGCTAGGCAGTTAGGGAAAAAAGACCCCCCAAAAAAGTAGCCAGTTTCTTGGCTAAAAGTCAAAATGTCCTTGGGCCTCTTAGCAACATATTCTGTTCCAAGGCCAAAAATGTCAAAAGTATTTGGGAGCTTGTATCTAATCCTTAAAAGATTTTAGGGTTACCTCTTCAGAGG